GTTCTACCCTCTTTCGGATTTTGCAAACTCTCTCTTTAAAAATAATTTTTCTTCCGATAGAAATGTTGCACAACTATTCTACAATACTAATATAATAAGTGTATAAGGTTGGTATTTGTATACATTGATAAGGAAAAGAAATAGGCAAAGGAATTGAGTTTTTGTCACAATCTTTTCAATTCCTATATCAGTGCAACCTGATGGTTTAAATCTTTAAATCTTCAAACTTCGGCCATTTGATTTATCAGATTTCATAGTTTGAAATATCAAAAGTCTACAACATCAGGTTGTCGAGATTTAGTGATTACAAAATTAGAGTTTGTTTCAAAAACTCCTTTCTTTTTTATATTTTACTTTTATATTTTATCATAACAGATTTGAACAAAAAAAAAATTATCTACAAAAAGGAACTGAGTTCTTATCGCAAACCCGATGTTATATGTCGTAGACCTTAGATATTTCAAACCATACATTCTGTTAGATAAAGTAATCTAAGTTTTAAATATCAAAGGTGTGCACATCAGGTTGCAAAGATATAGGGATCAGAAAATTTGAGTTTGTTGCAAAGATTCAATTCCTTTCGATGACAATTTAAATTGGATAAAAATAAATTTATGCCAATGATCTTGCTACTGTATATATTTTTTTTTTTTTATTTAAATCCGTCCAGTGTTCAGTCAATAAATAAGGAAAAGGTCAAATTCGTGTGAAGTTACTGTGGTACGACTTTGTGAACTTATACTCTACTTTTGATTTAACACCAACGTTAACAAACACAATGAAGTTGGATTCAATTTGACACTATCATTTGCTATTCATTTAATTTCTTCATAAATAAAATTTAAAAAAGTGCTTTCAACAATTTAAGTTTATTCTTACAAAATATTATCTCAAGAAAATATTGTATGTTTTGTTAATTACTTCCAACGTATTTTTGGGTGTTGCATATTTTCAAAAAGAGAAATAAGTATTTAAAAGTGTAAAATGTGTAAGAAATTTTTTTTTTAAATAGTGTTTATATAAATTAATCTGTTGAGTGCATATTTTTCCCCCATTAAATATATAATATTTTATAAAATTCAGAAATGTACATTAATCTATTTTATGGGACAATTTATAATTGAAAGGCCTTCAATGCTATCATTAAACTTAAAGGGGGGTTTAGGCTTAAGTTCAAGTAACATTATAATTGAACCCCCTTCACAATTTCCATATTTAGTTACAGAAAAGCTTGCAATTCTTGATAACTTTGCAACTAAGTAGTATTTGTTATTCAAAATTATCAATATTTACTTTCTACATTTAAAATTTTTGAAAACTGCGCTGGACATAAATTGTTTGGAATTCTGGAGAAATAGGTATTGTCAGCTGTGTCGAGTTTACAATCCTTTTAAATAGAAACAAATGTATACAAAAAAATTCTATTACGACTCCAATCATGCTTTGTTTATGCAGAAAGAGTGAATATCTTAAAGATGAATGTAACCATGAATCTTCCACTTTTGTTCTATTACAATGAATGTTGTGGTAATGATACGGAAAATTCCAATGTTCTATCCTAGTCTTCTGTAGGACTGGGTTGTTAATTGTTATTGTTAAGGAACGTTAGATATTAAAATATTTCGAAGATTCTTCCAATAAATGTCCATTTCTAGGTTGTTAACACAAAAAAGTTATTGAAAAGGAAAATATTGTTCCGTTACTTTTGAAAAACGTTGAAAAAAATCTAAACGTGCAAATGCTGGGTCTACTTTAACCTAAACAATATTTGAAATAGAAGAACGGTTTTGAAATTAGTATAAAAAAGAGTAAAAGATGCCCAGCCCTAACTATGGTACTCTCAATCAAAGTGTGCAGACTATATGTCAGGAGGAATCAAGGTTAACATGAATGGAACGGATATCAAGAGAAAAGGAGATATAAGAAACAAAAAGATATGCTCTAGGATCTGGTTAAAACTTGACAAATGAAAAATATACTTTTTTATAGACTATAGATCTACTTCTACATGGTTTCATTTTGAAGCTGAACGAAACTAAACACTTCTGAATCCCTCCTCAACAAATTGAATTTGCTTTACCCTTTATCTTTGCAACTTTTAAACTTTTACTATTTGATATGGAAAAATTTAAAATATTTAAAATTGCATAAATCTCCAATATGGAATTGAAAAATATAAAAAAATTTCTTTTTGATGTCTTAATGAAAAAAAATAAAATACTACAAAAAACGAAAAATATCAAAAATACACTTTTTAGATTTGGTAGACTTTAGAATTAATGACATCATTCTAAAGATCAAATTTATCAAGTTACGTTTCGATCCAACTTTAAACATTTGTTGTCTAAAACTTTAAAAACTTTTACAATAGTTGCAGTAAATCACAAACAATAGAATAATACATTTTAAACTTTGCCGTGTCTAGAAAAACTTTTCTTTGTTTCATTTTGCTTTCTCTACAGTTTGAGATTCAAGTCTGAAAATATAGTTTATGTTTACAAAACAAATAATATTGTTACAAATATCAACTGCTGACTGATATGAACATCCTAAAAACACTTTTCAAAGAACAAGAATTACGGCACTACGCACTATGTGTTTTGTTCCTTCATAAGGATTTTTCGGAGAGATACAAATTCTGTCAATGTCCTTTTGTCTATGATCCATAAATCGGAAGCTTACTTGCTTATAACACTAAGCTATAGTTTGCTAAGCCGATGTGGCCCAAAGTCTTGTCCACAAAACCCGAATTGTTGAATTCCTAAATCTTTGAAACCAAATTTCGTAGACCTTAAATATTTCGTACAATGAATTTTGTTAGATTAAATAATCTAAGTTTGCAATATCTAAAGTTTACACGATCAGGTTGCTAAGAAATAAGGATTACAAATTAGAGTTTGTGGCAAAGACTCAATTTCTTTGTTATGACAATCACCACATGACCCCATGTAGATTATAAATCGTCAAAGTTTAACACTTTGCACGTAAATTTTTTTGACTTTTTATCTTTAAAAATGGGTCAAATTTAACATACAAATCGCGGAAAATTTGAGAATGACCATTTATGGCTTTTTTTCAGAGCAACAGTTAAAAAAAATTGTCAATAGGCAAGGTTTTGGGAAGTGCCCTCTTTAAATGGGGTTTTCGCGAAAAATGAAAGGGGGTAGAAATTAAATCGATTTTTTATGATCCGAGTTGAATATTGCAGCTTTCTGAATTTTTATGGACGCTACGTTCTTTAGTATAAGTCGTTTTTTACAATTTTCTCAATATAAACGCAACAGATAGAAGTAAGATTAGTAGCGATCAAAAGTTATTATTTTTCGCCGTAAGCCTACACCCACTTTCATTTTTTCGCAAACACTCCCTTTAAGGCGGCAAGCTTATAGTAATTAAGATAATTTTTCAAACAGAAAAGTAGTCATAACCCGTCAAGCAGCATGACAAGTAATAATTATGTTTATCAAGAAATTCCAGAAATAAAAAGAATTTATTAGACCACAAAATACAATTTAGTAATATAGCTACATCATGCATGCATAAAGAAATAAGTGAAAGAAAACACAGCTAATCCAAATCTGTTGTTTCTCATGAGTAATTCTTCATGTTTCAACTATAAAGCTGGAGAATGTGGGTGATCAACAAGAAAAGCTTCACATCAGCAAATATATTTCACGGTTTTTCAAGTTTTTTACAATTTGATGTTTTCAAATAAGAAATGTTACGCAGCAAAACTCTAAACTATAAACTGGAAAGGTATTTTAAGCATTTCCTTTGTTTGTTTTTTTGAACGAAAAAGATGAAAATCTAAATTTGTAAAGTTAAGAAGTCATATTGCAGATTTTCACTGTAAACTACAATATTACATATTTTTATACATTTAGCAAATTATATCTGCAGATGTAGTGGACCTGCGATATTTAAAATCTTACAGTTTTTACCAAAAAGTTGAAATGGGTGCGTTTCTTTGCTTGTTCATCATTAATCAAAAATTGCCTTTGACTTTTATTTTCTAATTTGTTTAGTTCAAGTCAAAATTTCCAAATTTTCTAAATTTTTTTGTTAATTTTTATTTTATAGGACCTGGTACCAGGGTTTCCGGCGAACAAAAACTTTCTTAAAAAAATGTGAAATTTCGTAAAAATTTTCGCAAAAATGAATTTTGCAACAGAAAGCGAAAATAATGCAGAATTTCGTGAAAAAAAATATTTGATGTTTGCCTCTTCTTCGAAATTTCGAATCAATCTGTTTCGTGAGAAAATGCTAAGTTCCCCTATTCATATTCAACAAACGGAATGCCAAACAATATTCCCAATTCGCTCGAAAGTCGAAACCCTAGCTGGTATTCTGATGAGTAAACATTCTCACATTATACAATTCAATTTATAGTTTCCTTGCTTATTTATCTATTTATTCGTCCAAAAGTTGTTCCATTGAATCCAAAATTGCGGCGCATTTTTTTCTTTGTTGACATTTTTCGAAGAGTGATTTAGTTGGTTAACTTTCAATTTATTTCTTTATTTTCTTAATTTTTTGAATTTGTTTTTGCTTAGGGCTGTTTGCCCTGATGAGTTATAAAAGTATGTTGATTATAAAAAAATATTGATAAAAGAAAAAAACTATCGCTATTTATGTGTTAATATTTTGCGCATGCAATGATGTACAAATTTTGTATTATAGTACCTCTGTCACATATATCTAGATAAGAGTGGGTTAAATGTATATAAACATGATTTAAGATTATATTTAGCACCTAAAATTTCGCCTCAAGGATTAAAAGTTTTATTTTCCGTTTCTATTCTTCCTGCAATCCTCTCTCAAGTTTATAGTTAGTAAAAAGGAACTAAAGGATATTAGAAGTTTAGCAAAAAAGTGCATTTCCAATCTAATTCTTTTCCTTTCCTTTCCTGCTTTAGTTTCTACTTATGTTTCTTTCTTGAATAAAAGCTTATGTATCTTTGCTAACTTTTCTAAATTTCAAAGAAAAAACTGTTACAATTTCAATTTAAGTTTATATGTCTTCAGTGCATAAAAAGCACTTACCGCTATGGCTAAGATGCAGGCTAGGGGTCGGCGCCGCAGTCACATATCAACTATGCCAATGTGTTGCAAAAAAGAAGCAGGTACAAAATAAAAGGAGGAACAACTTCTTCTCTATTTCATTCTCTGTCACAGTTTCCTAAGTAGTTTGAGTATATTTTCCTAGTTTAGCTACTTTTTCGTGTTTCAAGAATCCGAACTAAATATTAAAATGTTTAGGTTTATAGTGGAGTACAGTTGGGAGATATCTACCATGAAGAAAGTCAACAATCTGTACTTGGCTCAACCCGACCTAATCAAAACCTTACTTATCGGTAATTTACAATCTGTACTTGACTTAACCCAACCTAATCAAAACCTTACTTATCGGTAATTTACAATCTGTACTTTGGCTCAACCCGACTTAATCAAAACCTTACGATCGGTAATTTATAATCTGTGCTTGGCTCAACCCAACCTAATCAAAACCTTACTTATCGGTAATTTACAATCTGTACTTGGCTCATCCCGACCTAATCAAAACCTTACTTATCGGTAATTTACAATCTGTACTTGGCTCAACCCGACCTGAGCAAAACCTTACTTATCGGTAATTTACCATCTGTACTTTGGCTAAACCCGATTTAATCAAAACCTAACTTCGGTAATTCTAACAATACTTTTTACAATTAATGGGACTATTCACATATTTCCAAGGTTTAGGCCAAAATAAAACCTTCAGACACAGTCACAGATGCCTGTTTTAATCAGAGCAGCTATTTGGAAGCTTTCGCCATTTTTTCAGATTGAAAAAAAACGTTCCTTGTTTTTATTGTACAGCTTTCATATTTTTCTGACATTTGACATTTCTTGGAAAAGCTTACATAGATAAAACAGATTGACAACATGTAGTAAATTCTCTACTCTATAAAAGGTTCTCGAACACGTATCTATCCAGGTATATGTCAGTTTCACTTAGTTTTCAATGCTAAACCCAGATACAATCTCATGAGCTATCAATATCAACCAGACACTGCTCGTGTTCTATCAAGTCCAAACCAATTGGTGCGATTTTGTCAGCTATGGATGTCAACAAGGACACTAGCTATTAATCGATCAATGCAAAACTAATGGGCACGATCTCAGCTTGTATATTTCAACGATAACCGATTACTTTCTCGCTGCAATCAAATGAGAGTTTTTATATCAACTGAGTATATTTCTTCATGTTATATTAGAGTCAGGTATTAACAGTGTAATTACAAGTTAAGCGCTGTTATATATAACATAGTTAACCATCACAGTATGGGTATGACATATCACAATACATGATTTACATATTTACTAACCCAGCAAACAAAAACTCGAGTTAAAATCGAGTAAAACTTTACTTTTGCCTTTCAGAAGTGGAGTTTTAATCCAGATTAAAAGTGGAGTTTTCACCTGCAAGTGTCGTTCCCTATCTGGATTAAAACTCGACTTTTCACCAAGTTGGGAGGTTGAAAAAATATCGACTGGGTGAACGAAACCCAAATTACTCTAAACTGTAATCAAAGCAGAGTTCTGGTTATAACTAACTTTATTAAGATCCATGTGTTACAAGTTGAAGTTAATATACGTAATTACAACTCATACATCTTTATCTGTTAATGGGTTAATAGGCGTAATTACAATACTTACTTCATTATATCACATGTTTTAAGGCAAATCATGTAACATATTACAGCACAATCAAAATAGTCTTAATTGAGGATATATGTCATATATATATCACATGATTAAGCTAATCATTTAGAACACAGTTCAAATGAATAAATGGGTTTTATGTACACACATTGATTATTAATAATGTACAACGTACGTACAGAATATCATGTTTCCACGATTTTTGCTACATTCCAACATTTAAAAAACGATCACTAATGAAAAAATTTATTTTCAATTATGTTAACGATCGTTGACGAAGGGTCGTCCTTAATAATCGTTGATGAAGGGTTGTCTTTAACGATCGTCAACAAACGACGAACTTTATAAAAACGATCGTTTTTGGTAAAACGATCGTCTTTGAAAAAAATATCGTTTTTAAATAAACTACATGAAACTTTATTGAATGTCGTCTTACATGAAATTTAACAGTGGTGGGGGAGTTAAAACTCCTTGATATTTTCTTATAAACTACTCAATGATAAGTACTGATGCCCTTCAGGTCGGTTTCCTCTCTTCGTTAACGATCATTAACAAAGGGTCGTTGTTAACGATCATTAACAAAGGGATGTCGTCAACGATCGTTAACAAAGGTTCGTTGCTAACAATCGTTAACGAAACGACAAGGTTTATAAAAACGATCGTTTTGAAAACAATTATTTTAAAAACAATATTTTTAAAAACGACCAATTATAAAAGACTAACTCTTCATAAAAACTATCGTTTTTAAAAACTATCTTTCCGTTTCCGATTTTTCGTCGTCAATTTCATTTTCAAAAAAATGAAAACGTTTTCATCCCTAATCCCAAGTTCCCAACCCTATATAAGATGCAATTATGCACATTTATCATTTTAGTCCAACTTCAAGAAATGCTGTTTGTCCAAGAGCTACTTTTTAACTAATTTGATCTATATTTATTTCAACATATCGGTCAAGCAGACATCAATGTTAAATTTAGCATCGAAAATTGAATTTGTGAAGGGTTTGTGACATGAATAAACATCTTCTGCAATTTTGACTGCTGCTAACTAACATTTCATATAAATACTTCTATTATTAACATAATTATGTTATATATTTAATTGGACAGAAATGTTTTTTTCTTATCAATTTTTAATGAGACTTCAATTATATTGCTGAAAAAAACCCTGTTACATTATTTATTTCAAGATGTTACATTATTTATTTATTTCAAGATATCAGTCAAGCAGACATTAATGTTAAATTTAGCATCGAAAATTGAATTTGTGACATGAATAAACATCTTCTGCAATTTTACTGCTGCTAACTAAGATTTCATATAAATACTTCTATTATTAACATAATTATGTTATATATTTAATTGGATAGAAATGTTTTTTCTTATCAATTTTTAATGAGACTTCAATTATATTGCTGAAAAAAACCCTGTTACATTATTTTTCTCTCTTATATCGTGCTTATGTAAAAATTTGGCAATATGAAAAAAAAATCGGTCATTAGAAAATTTAGTTTTCATTTTTAATCTTTATTTAAGTTAAAAACCTTGAATGTCAAAAAAGAAACAAAAATTTGTAAAATTTTGCATAATGTTAAAAAACAGCAAACTTGTTTCATTATAATTTAAAATTCAGTGATGGTGATGGACCAAACCTCTGTAGAGTAAAAAAGTAGATGTTAGTTCCACATTTATTTATTTATTTATTATTGCTTCATTATACTTAAAAATATTCATTATTTAAATTCATCTAAATTAATTTTAGGGAGAGTTTAATCAACCCACCTGGATGGAAACCTGGTGAACTAACTGTGATTTATTCCTTTCTCCTTGCTACCTATATTCTAGGATTATAGAACTTTATAATATATTTTATATATTCCTTTCTCCTAGCTACCTATATTCTAGGATTATAGAACTTTATAATATATTTTATATATTCCTTTCTCCTAGCTACCTATATTCTAGGATTATAGAATTTTACAATATGTTTCATATATTCCTTTCTTCTAGCTACCTTTATTCTAGGATTAGGAGCTGCAAAGATAAGTAAAAGTTACGTCGCCGTTTACCCGCACTTGCACGATTTCACCGGGTAACTAAATGTTCGCTATTAAAATAAACCCACTCAGTTTAGAATCTAAAAACTAAGCTAGGAACATTCCCATAATCAAAATTTGAGGCAAATCGGTCCAGAGGTTCCTGAGTTCTGATCGGACAAACAAATAAACAGACAAACAGACTGCAGTTATGAAAATGGACATGAATCACAGCAATTGTGCAGTGCAACAAGATCAATTTCACTTCATGTTCATTCATTTTTAGGCTACTTGATAAAAATCTTTTAATGTTAATGAAATTATATACTCACAAGATTTTTTAAATGTCCACTTCCTTTTCCACAATTTGATGTCACAATTTTTTATGGTAAATTATGACAAAATCGAAGCATTATGGTTGGGTGAAATTTAAAAATGTTGAATTAAAAAATGGCTGTAGTTTTTTTCTTCAATATTCGAACGATTTTTCTTTTATTTATTTAACACTTCCGATATAGGAAATAGTTGAACTCTCTTTTCAGTCAGCGGCGGATTCAACAATTCTATTTTATAAGAATATTTTAAAGAAATTCTTTAATATTGAATTGAAAAAACTATACGCAGAGCTGAAAACTTTAGAATGTTGGATATTGCGATTAATGCTTGATCCTCTTTTTTTCTTAATATCGAGACTAACTTAATCTTGTACTTGTATCCTGAAAAGTGTATACAATTCAACCATTCAGAGTCGCGTATATGAAGCCGATAAATTTGAAATTTTGCCCACCATTTAAGATTATATACAGAAACGGGCGGGACTCTCTAAATAAAAATACGGGTTTTCTATATATCCAAGAAAGAACGGTTTAAAAAGAAAATCAAAAGTGTGTCCATTGGATACTCAGTAATTGGGATTAAGGATATCTCATTCTAGATCAGTATATANCATCACCAGGTTGCAAAGATATTGGGATTAGAAAATACGAGTTTGAAGCGAGTAATGGTTTCCAAAAAAATATAATATAATTTAAGATTTTGAATTACGTATTTTGCCAGGGCATTCTTTCTTCTTCCTTTGGAACAAACTTGACCTCCAACATAACCTCCAACATAACCTCCTAGGTAAAATGAAAATGTAAAACAGGAAAATACAGAACTTTTTGTCGGGATTGTCCGCAATATAGATCTCCGTTATTGGACCTCGATAAAACATACTCGAGTGTAAAAATGAAATAGAAAAATATAAATAAAATCCCTTGACCTAGATTTTTAGCATAGATTTAAGAAGCTTGATTGGAAAACTGGCAAATATGTTAATTTGAAAATTCTGAATGAATGATGAAAGTAGGAAATATTAATGTAGCGTGTCTTTCACATGGAGTAAACAAGTTTCAGATTTGCCAACTTTGTGATTAAATCAATCTTCATAAATAATTCCTCAGGGGTGTATAATTTCTTAAAAAAATAATTCCCTCCCCCCCTCTTGAAAAAATTCCCCTTCAAAAGTTAACTTTTAGTGTTAGTTTTATTTTCTGAATTGGAAAAAATTTATTTTTGGGTAAAATTATAAGATAAGATTTTAAAAAACTTTTTTTGGTGTCCAAATTTTCATTTTTTTCTCAAGAGCATCAAAAATTAATTTCCCCTTTTTTAAAGATATACCCTGCTAAACTTTCTTTATATTTTCTCCTTTATTTGAATATTTAACAAAGTTCATAATTTAGTTATGATATCAATACCCTTTCTCTTCATTGGAATAAAGAAGGTAACTTTATAATTTAAAAATTTTTTACAATTTGTCTACTGATTTGGCAATTGACATCCTCAATATCAGGTCTGAGGCAACCATCAATAACCGGGGTCCGGTTCAATGAGACCTTAACAAATTATTGAAATAAGAAGTAAATTCTAAATCATCCATTTAATTTAGATCAGATGATTCAAAATAAGATAAATTGATAAAAAAGAGCAAAAAATGTTTTATGTTGAGCCTAATTTTTTGGGATCTTGTAAAACACTTTAAAAATGTTTATGTTAAATAAGCTTAAGGTAAAAATTCGATTCGAAAAAATGCTATAACCCTTTTATTGTTTTCGTTTATTTGTTGGGCAAGCTAAAATTTTCAATTTTATAAACTTTGGTTTCAAATTTTAATTCAGCTTCAAATATCCAAGAAAATGAGGTATTAACATTTTTTTTAGCAATTTGTCTAATCAGATTTTTTTGGCCAATTTAGAATTTGATTTTATTGCAATATTTGTTTGGGTCAGCACAATGCACAATCTATGGTTAAAAAAATAATGTTATCCGCGATTTTTCAGCAGCAATAAGGTTTTACTGGATCAGCATGCAATAACTTGCAATAACTTGCAATTACTTGGTATTGCTCTGAAATATCGCAACATCATGAATACTTCCATATAGAAGAAAATTAATATTGGTAAACAAAGAAATATAAAAACATGAGTTAACACATTATCCATCCGGGATATATTTGAGCCAAACATCTGGGATATATTTGAGCCAAACATCTGGAATATATTTGAGCCAAACATCTGGGATATATTTGAGCCAAACATCTGGGATATATTTGAGCCAAACATCTGGTATATATTTGAGCCAAACATTTTCTCTAGTGCATTAAAGTAGTTAAACTTACAGCACCTAGTTCAAATAATTCTTGTTCTTCATTTAATCCAAATTAAATATGGAAATTACTTATGAAAGGAATTGAGTCTTCGCCACAAACTCTAATTTTCTAATTCTTTCTAATCTATCTAATTCTAATCTTTGCAATCCAATGTCGTAGACCTTAGATATTTTGAACTGTAAATTTTGTCATATCAAATAATCTAAGTTTGAAATATAAAAGGTTTACACCATCAGATTACAAAAATATAGGGAATAGAAAATTCAAGTTTGTGTCAAATACTCATTTCCTTTATTGATAATTTACCCATTTTTAAGAAAATAAAGTTTTGGTCTAAAATAACTTATCAATGTAAAAAAATGCAAGATCTTTAAAAAAATCATCTATCCAGAACTTTTATGTGGAGTATATTAAATGTTGAAGGCTTGATCTCAATATCCAATGTGTTGGGACTTTTACATTTTAAGATATAGGCATTATCCCTGAATTAGAATAACTGTTTTCATACGATGTAGATGGATGTAGATCAATGCTTGGTCTCGACATTTACAAAACAAAAGTTTTGCCTTTTCTTTATCTATTATGAGTTTGAATATTCCTTTAACTTACAATTTACTATTCAACCTTTTTTCATTTTTTTTTTCTTCCTAAATGCAAAACTCTTCCTTTATTTGAATATTTCATAGTTCATAATTTAGTTATGATATCAATACCCTTTCTCTTCATTGGAATAAAGAAGGTAACTTTATAATTTAAAAGTTGTTTACAATTTGTCTACTGATTTACAATATTTGAGCCAAACATCTGGTATATATTTGAGCCAAACATCTAGGATATATTTGAGCCAAACATCCAGGATATATTTGAGCCAAACATCTGGGATATATTTGAGCCAAACATCTGGTGTATATTTGAGCCAAACATCTAGGATATATTTGAGCCAAACATCTGGGATATATTTGAGCCAAACATCTGGGATATATTTGAGCCAAACATCTGGGATATATTTGAGCCAAACATTTGGGATGTATTTGAGCCAAACATCTGGGATATATTTGAGCCAAACATCTGGGATATATTTGAGCCAAACATCTAGGATATATTTGAGCCAAACATCTGGTATATATTTGAGTCAAAAGAAAATGCTTTGAAGTGATTCTAATCCTAAAAATGGTTGTGAAAACTTTTAAATGGTTTGTCAATAAACAGAATGAATTTTTAAAATTTTTTTTTCTGGCTAAAATTTATTTATTACAATTGTAGCTTTACTGTAAAAGCTACTCGCGGATTTATGTTGCACAATTTTTGAAAGAAACCATTTTTCAAGATAAAACAACGACGATATTTTTTGCCACAAACTCAAGTTTTCTAATCCGTACATTTTCGCAACCCAATGTCGTATACCTTAGATACTTCATACTATGAATTATTAGATCAAATAAAAAGGAAACATTTGATATTAATGTTTTTATTAAAATTTCAAAAAGTATGTTTGCAGGGAGAAGGCAAATACATGATTCCCTGGCTTGCAACGTCAAGTATGACAACTGTATCAGATTCAACAATCAACCTTTATATTCTCATCTGTCATAAGAAGGTAAATCAGTACACAACAGCAATAACTAGTTGAACTAGGTCTGGATAGTTGAACTATTTCTCTAGTGCATTAAAGTAGTTAAACTTACAGCACCTAGTTCAAATAATTCTTGTTCTTCAATTAATCCAAATTAAATATGGAAATTACTTATCAAAATTATTTGATAATTTACCCATTTTTAAGAAAATAAAGTTTTGGTCTAAAATAACTTATCAATGTAAAAAAATGCAAGATCTTTAAAAAAAGCATCTATCCAGAACTTTTATGTGGAGTATATTAAATGTTGAATGCTTGATCTCCATATCCAATGTGTTGGCACTTTTACATTTTAAGAAATAGGCATTATCCCCGAATTAGATTAACTGTTTTCATAAGATGTAGATCAATGCTTCATCTCGAGATTTACAAAACAAAAGTTATGACTTTACTTTATCTATTATGAGTTTGAATATTCCTTTAACTTACAATTTACTATTCAACCTTTTTTCATTTTTTTTTTCTTCCTAAATGCAAAACTCGGAAATTATAAAAAAAAGTTGAAGCAAATTTTGTGGTTGAATTTCTCTGCAGCAAGATTAGATACAGGGAACTTATCCCATTTCAGTTATTACCCCAATAAAAGTTGGAATTTTTATAAGTATACTTAAAGGAACTACATATTAATAGACTCTCCACTTCTAGAGTAGCAATTTTCAGTTTATACAATGGCATATCCTTTACATCTTTGTCTGATCAAAGATATAAATGAAACTTAGCTTTTAAAGCTGAAAATTTTATTTATAAAAATTAAATTTTAGACGTTTTATTAAAGAAAAACAACAATACTTTTTATTTTAAAAGTGACATACCAGATTCACAACCAACCCTTTAAATCTGTATCTAGGTAGGGATAAGGAAGATATTGTTGTTATTATTTTATCTTGAACAGAATGCCTTCGTCAACTTCCCTTCTTGATTCTCTTGCGTGATTTCGCAAATTACTTTTATAGAAAATCCGCAATTACAAATTTTTGTTTATAGATTCGCTTTGAACCTTTGACTGCATTTATTTTTACCTCAGCTTTCTTCATTTTCATTATACAGGTATAATAATAAAATATTTAAACCTCAAACTTTGTTTTGTTTTTAATCAATACATTGTGAGAACTCGATTATCTTAATGTTCCAAAATCTATCATGGAAGATTGGAGATTAAAGATTTCTCTGAAAATCCTACAAAATTGATTCAAGAGAAATCGATGTAGAAAATTGAAAACATCAATAACAGAAAAAGTTAATGAAAAGCTCCAACAGTTTTCTAATTTCTATAAATAATATTTTGATAGTTTTTATGAACCATGATTATAAATTACGTACATTAAATTGGCATTTATGCATTTATCTTCATATTTTATAGTATGTAAGGATGCAGGAACAGTGATTAAACCTTGAAAGGATTTGAGTTTATCTAACATAGTTTTAAATTGCACAGGGTTGCAAAGATAAAGGGATTAGAAAATCAAAGTTTCTTTGTGTTATCAGTTAAAAATGACTATCATTATTTCTATTAAACTAGGCTTTTAGGGCGCTTTGCACCCATCTTCTATTTAAATTGTGAACATGTTCTTTTTGTTTACATTCTAAAACAAAGAAGAACAAAATTTTGCGAATTTAAAAAAAAAAATTCGCAGATTTTCAAGAATTTTATTTTTTTTACAAAGTTTCCCTGTGGTCAAGTGATGTCCCACAAAAAATTTGGGCCCGATCGCGGCTCAGCCGTTTTGACGTTTATTGGATACAAACAAACAAACAAACACCCAGACAAGCTAAATTTATATATAGATGAAATAAAAAGCATTATCTTTATAACTCCCCACGATAGTTTATATGTCTGAAACATTGAACATAATGTTTAGACGGAAACTATTTTCCTTCCTCAATTGGTATTTTGAATGTTTTGAAAGATTATGCTTTTAAAGCTCCAATATATCATTAGGCTTTACAACAAATTTTCTTTTGAAAATATAAAAATACAAAGTTAAAAATGAAAAATGCTAAGCACATTGATAATATTATTACATTTGAAATATTACTTTGCAACTTTTTCTTTCTGTAGCAAAGACATATAAATGTTTTTGCTAAAATGTTTATAATCACATATTTATCAAACGTCCCTTTTCCTTCATTAAATTGACTGTAAAGAAAAAAAGAAAGAGTTATAGGCTGAAACCTAAGAACCAAAAAGTATATGTACGATGTAGTATAAGATTCAAAGTTTTAAACAGATTATATTCAGCAAATAAGCAACCAATCTGAAAACGACGATATCCCAGAGGAGCCTGAAAAACTTTGGTTTTCTCCTATTATTATTTGAAATTATAATTTTTCGATTTTAATAGATATAGTTGATTATACACGTGACGATGACAATGACAATTCAAATAATATAATGAGCAAACTTGAGTTTTTTAGGCTCCTCTGGGATATTGTCGTTTTCAGATTGGTTGCGTATTTGCTGAATATGATCTGTTTCAAGCTCTAAAGAGACTGTCTCCAGAAATAAACTGAAATTTTGTTAAGGAATGAAGAAATAACGTTCATTTTCAATCAGTCTGTAAAGAAAAATTAACTAACAGTTAAAGAACTAATTGAAAAAAAAACCTACTTTTGTTTATAAAATGAAAGAAATACACATTGAAAAATGTATTATAGATGTATTCAATCCTGTGTGTGTACTACCAGTACAGAAGAAGCAAGGAGGGCGTTTCTAGTAACCTGTTGGAGGTGGAGAGGGTGGAGCCAAGATTCATTCCAAAGCATCCAGTGCTCAGAGGGATGCTTAGTAGAATATCAGAAGTAGATGAAGAAAAATCAAGGTACATTTTCTGAAAGGAGCTGTAGACGTAATTTCAAGTAATATTCCATTTGTAGAATGTCATGTCGGATTTTTAACTTTTTTTTACATTTTTTTCTCCTTTCTCCCTCTGCGTGTCTGCAGGTTCTCTTTTTCTTGCTTCTCTTTGCCCGTCAATTGTTGGCGCTGTTTTTGAAAGACTGATTTTAAACTGTCCCCTTTAAACCTTTGTTTGATTGTTGACAACGAAGAAATGAGTAATTTTTATTTCTAAATAAACCAATATATAATGTTTTATTTTCTGTAACCCCGGCCCAGCATGTACCATTTGTGAATCAGACATGCCAGTTTAAAAGAAATGATAGTTAAAATTTTATCTACAATTTTTAAAAATTAAATGCAAACATATAAAATGATTGTTTTACAGTGAAATATTCAGTGGTAAAAGTGAGAGTAAACCTGTGGAAAAGATCTCTGATGAAACTAAGAGCGGTGACTCTCCCATTACAATCTCTGCAGGTTCAGGCACTCTAGCAAACTGTGATAAAATAGCTATAGAGAAGAAAGTGAACAAAGATCACAGTATGGAGAAAACAGATGAGAATGTGATGGTTAAAGTTCGTGAATCTGAGAATGTTGGTAAAGTCCAGGAAAATGAAATGACTAAGACAGTTGGAAATAGTTTTGATAACAAAGTGAAAAAGTATACAGTAAGACTAACAGACTCAGAGGACATTAAGATATTTAACAGTAACGATTACAAGGAAGACAAAGATCCCTTGATAAGTTCTCAAAAGAAAAATAACACAAACTATCAACAGAAAAATCCGCCAACAGTTATTCTAACAAGTCCGACAACTCATCATGAGAAATTTGAACAAAGTGAGGAAAAACTAAATGATGTGATATTCCAGGAATATTACAAAACTATAAACCAAAGTGTTCAGTTGGATAAAAATACAGTTAAAATAATGACCGAGAAGAATGAAAATTCCAAAAAGTTTGAAAATGATAAAGATGTGAGTTGTGAAAAACAATCAAAGAGAAGAGATTCTGCATTCAAGGAATACTTAATTAACAAACAAAAAAAAATCTTGATTTAAGATATATTCTTTGATAATAGTTTTTTAAGATTAGGCTTCATATCATTAGAATGTTAAAATGAGCAACTCAATTTGCTGCCTTAAAGACACCGTTTACTTATTTGGGTAATTATGGGGTAAACTAAATAGCTTATTAGCTAGGGATTAGTATTGGTCTTACTTTTCAAACACAACTGTGGCCTGAGAAATAGCCGATTTTTAGTTCAAAAGGGATGTTCCCTTTGTCGATACACTTTTTGATGTTTTTTGTTGATGCCATGGATTAAAAAAAATGTTTAATATAAAATTAAACTGTGGTATCTAATAGTTAAATGTAAATGTCTTATTAAAAAAAAATTTCAAACTTTATATTTTTTCCATAACATTTTTTAGCATATTGAACATTTTGTATTGCTTCTCTGTAAAATGCTGAATAGAACGCAGCATGAAAAATGAAAGGTTACGAGCATACAGGAACGGGATTAAAAATTAAAATTAGGTAGTTGATTATAAATTAGACAACTAATTCAGGGGTGCCATCATCCTGAGGAGGGGAGGGGGTCTGAATAGATTAAGGCCTCAACTGTCAATGAACTTTCATTTAAAGTTGTAATCTGAAATGAATTTAAGTTTATATATACTCAGATCGCACGACAAATAAGTTAACAGTCTCTTTAGTCATTTATAATTTTCTAATCTGTATGTCTTGACAATCTGATGGTGTTTACCTGAACTATTGGATTCTATTTGATTTACCGGTTTCCATAGTCTATATAATAAGGTTCTTTGATCATATATATATTTTTTATTTTAATACTAGGCTTTTAGGCCGCTTTGCGATCTATGTGATCATCTTGTGCAATTTAAAACAAAAACAAAATATGTTCGGAGTTTTTTCAATATTTTTAAAATCATTTTCAAAATTTTACAAAAAGTACTAAATTCCACGAGCATTTTCGCTAGAAGTAAATAAAGAAGGTCTAATACACCAGGTTGCAAAGATATTGGGATTAGAAAATACGAGTTTGAAGCGAGTAATGGTTTCCAAAAAAATATAATATAATTTAAGATTTTGAATTACGTATTTTGCCAGGGCATTCTTTCTTCTTCCTTTGGAACAAACTTGACCTCCAACATAACCTCCAACATAACCTCCAATATAACCTCTAACATAACCTCCAATATCAACTCCAGCATAGCCTCCAGTAGGAGGTCCAGCATTACCTCCAATCAGACATACAACATGGTGTCCAACCTGACCTCCAATATTGAGCAAAAAATGAATTTATTTTTCATTCAATCTAAGGAAAACATAAATGGGTCCATTGTATAAATAATGCAATTTATCATTTTATAAATGAGCTTTTTCTATGGAAAATTTATTTATTGTCAAAATCACTAAATTGTAATGTTGGACAAGTTTTATAAATAGTCTTCCTGTATCAACAATTTATCATTAAACATCTTTTCTTTCATACTTTTTCAACTACCTTCAAATTAAAAATGGACTGTTAAATAAAATCATTACGTTAATAATAGGCCATAAATTATAAAAAAAACCTTGCTTTTTCTGCATACAGTATATGCATAGAGAATAGAATATATATTCTACTCTCTATGAGTATATGTTTTCAATTCATAAGTTTGATTTCATAAAAATTCCCTATTTCTAATCTATTTTTCACCAGAAAAAACTGCATTTTTCCAATCAAAATATTATGTTAGTTCTTCAGTGGTAGTATCATCTGTTCTGAAAATATTTTGACAAACCCCTGACACAAATATATTTCAGAAAATGAAAGATTTGTATCATTATGTCGTTCAATGCGTAGGAAGCGACGCACATGTAAGTTTTCTGAAAATCATATTTTTGCGCCCATTCCAGTTTTTATGTCATTTATAAAAATAAAATAAAAGTATTTTGAAAATATTATTAGCAATCAAGGAAAAGATGTAAAACATAATCGAAATTTCTTTTTAATGCACAAAATCATAGAGGATTTTGCTGCCAAATAATAGTTGTTATCTCAAATAGGACGCAGAAATGAAATCAGATTTACTGTCAAAAAAAAGACTATATAAATCTAGCTAAATAGAAAAGCTAGTTAAAGTTAGGATATTGTATATTATATATTAAGACTTTAATAATTGTAGGCCTAAAAATAAAAAAAAGTTTCAGAAATGGCTAAAAATATTATAGATAATCTAAACTAGTTCAAACTAGTTTAAACTAATTCAAACTAGTTCAAACTAGTTCCAACTAGGTAAAATTAGTTCAAACTGGTTCAAACTAGTTAAAAATAGTTCAGACTAGGTTAATCTGGTTCAGTCTGGTTCAAACTAGTTCAAACTTATTTAGTATAATCCAAACTAGTTTAAACTAGTTCGAACTAGTTAAAACTAGTCAAAATTAAATTCTAAACTCGTAATCTCTGGCTTTGTAACCCTGTGAATTCAAATTTTAATTTTTGAAAGGTTTTTTTTAGATATTTGTTTCCTTTCTTGTGCGTACCATGTTTTTGAATCTAAAAATCAAAATTAAAATTTTTTCAAACATACTCTTATTGGCTGTTTGTAATATCATATATCAACTGTGAAATTAATGTTATATATAATATATATAGTTGTCTATTTATTTTCTAAATATTGTCTATTTTCCCTGTGTAACGTGTAAATGTATATTTATAAGATTTAATTATTTATATTTTAATAAATCTTTTCAAATTATTTAAATTAAGATTTTGTTGTTGCATTTTTCACGAAAAGATTAAAATTCGAAATACTTTCTCATTTGCAATTTGTTTATAATTATTCAGATACTACAGCGATTTTTAACAAATTTTTAGTTGGGGTTTTCCATACTTCTATCTTATTTCAGTTTCCAAATTGTTTTTATTTTTGTCAATCAACTTTTATTTTTGTGAGCTTGCAGTCCATCAGTGGTTAAGATTCTTTTTATTTTCTCCGTTGCTTTCTTAAATTGGTTTTTTGTTTGTTACTGGTTTTCAGAAAACAATTTACTTTTATTTCAAGAAATAATTGATTACATTTTTTATTCTTTCAGTAGATTTTCTTTTAAGTTAAACTTTACAGAAAGCAAAATAGGGTATAAGAATCTATATAAATGTCAAAGATCATAAGTGAACTGCCGGGCGAGAAAATGCGTTTTTGTCTATGCCAAACTAAATCTTTATTTCGAATTATTTTGGATTTTAACAATTTTGTTTTTAGGACAAGAAATGATTTAACTGTTCGGTTCTTGTCTTATGTTTTTAATAAAAAGAGAAAAACATGATAGAATTGAAATAAAAAAAAAACTGAGGACATTTGGCAGTGGTTACTCTTTGTGCTTTTAAAGGCTCAGCAAAAAAAGTACAATTTATAATGTTTTGAACTTTTTGAAAAATATTTTTTTTTACGATCTGATGGAGTTTGAAAAAATAATTGATTTTTTTTTGTATTTGGTAAAATTGTAAATTTGTAAATCGTATTTTTTCTACCAGGGATCAAATTCTTTCATTGATATGCATTTCTTTTCCCTCAAACTCAATCCATTTTCAAAAGGTATTTTAAAAATATCTCAATCAGAGATTTCTTCAAAAACTTATTTAACTTTAGCTAAACTTTCATTACATTATTGATACAATCTTTCTTAAATGCAATGTTTGTTAAAAGGTGAAAAAGATTATTTTATTTTGAAGTTCTCCCACTGAAGACAAACTTAATCAAAGTTTACAGAACGTGTTTGTTTAGCTCCTGGGAAACCATTATAGAATTATATGAAACTTGGATATTGGAAAAAGATGCAACAACGCTTTAGTTTTCATATAGGTGATTCATTATACACGGTAAATGGTATGGTATATGACGCAAGAATACACTAGGATAAGAATACTGGGTGATGAAACAGTTAATTCTGCCTTACAATCTAAATTAGTCAGAGACAAAATTGGCTCCGGAAAAATTCCATCACAGACTATGCAGTAAAAATGTTTCAACAAGCCATATTAGAGAACTATGGTCAGGCAGAAATGACTGAGTGGGATGATGCTACAAAAAAATGAAAACAACTGTCAGTGAAAAAGTATCTTTTGAAAATGAAACTTTCCGGAGAGAACATATAGAAACAGTTATAAAACAAGGACATTTTCTCTGCCTTGCAATGCTTGAAAAATCTGACATGATCTGGAAATCTTACATGTTCAATCTGAAGAAAGGTACACTGAAATTCCTACTCAACTCCTGTTTGGACATCCTGCCAACACAAACTAACCTTCCACAATGGGGAAAATCTGCATCAGATCTCTGTAAACTATGTCTACAGGCAGGTGATCAATTGCAAGGTAGAAGACAAGGAACTACAAACAATATTTTGAATGGCTGCAAGGTTGCAAACACCAAAAAGAAATTTTTTTGAGCTTACTGTCCCATTGGAAACAAATATTCAAAATGCCAACGCTCAAAAGATGAACATGTTTGAAGATTTTATCACAGATATAACACCTAAGGATGTGTCTGTTCACCCTTTAAAAATCGGCTCAAAAGGATCATCCAATAAAGCAAATCTAAAGAAACTGCATAAGTTCTGCAAAACACAAAGTTAGTTTCAAAGCAATATGCGAAAATCTATCAAGCCTTGCAAGTTGCAGTGCTGTCATCTTACCACATTTAAAAAAAACACAAGACTGGGACCAAGAAACTCCAGATAAAAACATAATCAATTCTTCTTATTTTGTGTAATATTTAAAAAAAGATGATATAGCGTTGACCAGGGGAGGCATAGTCAATCCCACCATTTACACACCCTTGTCGTAAACTACTATTTTACCACAGACCTAATTTTTCCGATAAAAGTCGACCCACTTAACTTATAATCTCAACAACAAAATAAGAATATGTCCGTGGCTCTCCCAAGTTCCCCAATCAAAAATCAAAATATTTGAGGCAAATCCGTACAGGGGTTTCCGAGTTATGATCGGACAAACAAACAGACATCCCCCATGACTAACAGAGATCATAGCTTTATATATATAGATATATGTATATAATTTATTTACACGAGTGAGACTAGCTAGGTGTTATGAAGTAACTGATTGAGTTGTATAGTTCCCAAGTTGCCAATATAAATATATGTTCCTTTCTCAAATATAAACATGTCAGGAATGATACAAAATTTCAAGGGATGTATGTTTAAAGTAGAGATGGGCATCTACTATACAAGTAGAGATGGACATCTACTATACAAGTAGAGATGGGCATCTACTATACAAGTAGAGATGGGCATCAACTATACACATGGAGATTGGCATATACTATTCAAGCAGAGATGGGCATCTACTATACAAGTAGAAATGGGCATTTACTAAACAAGTAGAGATGGGCATCTACTATACAAGTAGAGATGGGCATCTACTATACAAGTAGAGATGGACATCTACTATTCAAGTAGAGATGGACATTTACTATACAAGTAGAGATAGGCATTTACTATACAAGTAGAGATGGGCATCTAATAGTAATTGATTGAGTTGTATAGTTCCAAAATAAATACATGTTCTTTTCTCAAATATAAACAAGTCAGGAAAGATACAAAATGCCATGGGATGTTTAAGGTACAAGTAGAGATGGGCATCTACTATACACGTAGAGATAGGCATCTACTATAAGTAGAGATGGGCATCTACTATACAAGTAGAGATGGGCATCTACTATACAAGTAGAGATAGGCATCTACTATACAAGTAGAGATGGGTATCGTTTTCAGAACAAACAATTTTTTTGTGAGCAATGGTCTTTCGGAAAAAACGAACATTGGACGAATGACTTGGATCGTTCAGAGTCTTAAAGAAAATAAAAACGATAGTTTTTTAAAAATGAAAAAAGAACCATTTAAAATAGTTTGAAGATACTTGAAAAAATGATAATTTTTTCTGATTTTTTTAGATTGTCATTTTCACTGAACGAAATTTTTTTCGGAATACACTTTGTTAAAAACAATAGGTTTATTATGTTGCGAAAAATTTTATTGAACAAATGATTTTACTGAATGATCGTTCACTAAGAAAACAAACAAATAGATTAAAAATAAACAAACGAAATCAATTTTTTAAAAAAAAACTAAATGAGTTGTTCACAAACGATTAACAAAGGAAATGAAAAAAAACATGCCAATTTCAGGTAGGGAGAGGGTATGTGTACAGAAATGGGTCAACCCTATCCCAGCTGGGCTGTTTTTGTCTAATATAGGAGATGGAGGGTTCATCCCCCCCTATCCCTTATGATTTTGTCCACAGGGGTGGATGGAAAACATCCCCCCCCCAGCCTTAATAGGGTTAAGGCAAAAAACACCAGGAAGTGAACAACCCTGCTATCATAATCTGCCCAGGAAAATACGGTTCTTATTTTTGAAGCCATCATCAGAGAGAAACATTTCTCCACGCATCTATACACCATACAATGAAATTACCCATCTTTTTTAATAACATTTACATTGAAAAATCTTTGAGAATTTTATCAAAACTAAAATATGTTAGTTGAGAGCACAGATTAACACAGACTGCTCATAATCTCTTCCTGGATAGGCTAAGCAGGCCAACAGTGTCCCGGCATGCCATGCTTCAGTTCCATGAAAGGTTTTTGATTGCCATCAATAGCCACTTGTTACATTTATTTCAGGGGTTAAGTTTTCCAATTTTTAACGACATGCTCTAACTTTTAACATAAAACATAAAATTTAAGAATTTAATATTTTTTGAAGTTTTTGTATTTTATATCCAACAGATCCTTAATTATCCAGCTGAATACAGATGTTTCCTCATTGGCTGTGTACCTGATGTGGAAAATATGGTGTATATTAGCCTTTCAGATATGTATTCATACCTTTGGTTGAGAACAATGCGTTTAACTCTAAATCAAAAGAAACATTGCC